CTTTTAGTCTGATCTGAGACTTTAGTAGACTGTCCTTATTCTCACTGATAAACAAAAATTTGTTTTTACTCTACAGAAAAAAATATTAATTACTCCTACCATAAGATTAAATTAAACAAACAATTAATGCAGCAAAATATTCTTCAGGAGCAATAGTATCCCTTATTGTAATAAAAGAGCATCAGCGAAAAATTTGCTGTGTTTGACTTTTTGCTGTTACTGCTGGACCATCAAGTTTCCAGCCCAACTTTTTCTCTGGAAGACTTGAATCACTCTTCTAGACTTATGTTTCAGTGAAAGAAAAACGCTCCAAACCTATAACAAAATTTACTTTGAAACTAAGTATTAAAGTAATGAATTTGTAAATTTGACTCCATTTATCTTAGATAAATTATAACTTCTGCTTATAATTATAATATTAATACACAGATATTGTTCCTATCAGAATTTTTTTTTAGTAGTTTAAAAGTAAATGCTTTGACAGATAAACCCCATTAAGGATTTTCTTGACTATGGTTAGCTTTTCCTTAGCTCTTCTTGAAACACATAACATCAGAGATTTAATAATCTTGCCCTATATTCCCCCCAATAAAATGCATTTTATATTAAAATTAAGCAATGGTAAAAACTAACAAGATGTATATTATTAATGCTTTACTATATGTGGACTCATTAACCATAGTTAAATTAATAGAACAACCCAAAATGTAATCATGACCATTGACTACTTGGAAAGTTCTCTAATGAATTTTTTATCTTATTTCAGTCACTTCAAAATTTCCCTTTTAAGAGTCTGTAAAATCCTCATTTCCTAAGCAAAATTTCTTTTAAAAAAGTCATGTTTAATGGAATTTTCATTTTATAACCAGTAAGATTTTCTAATACATTTGGTGAAAAGAATTATTGTAATCCTTCTCTCTAATAACAGAGGAGTGAAATCTACCATAGAAAGACATATACCCTAATGTTTATATTTGGCAATAACCTTTCTTGACAATTTAGCTGCTATCTGTAGAAGCAAAAATCAATACTTTATTTCTTCTGCAGAGTGATACTGGCTACTTTGCAATCTCTGTATGTGTTTCCACATAAATATTCTTGAAGGCAAACTAAATCATTTAAATTTTGTAGTTGTCCGGTCTCTTTGCAAGACATATTATGCACTTAGGATGAATTCAGTGTAAATCATCATCCTAGCCACACAATTAAATACTATAAGCTTCCTTAACCCTCAGCTCAGACTCTCCTAATCTCTAAAAGAAAGCAATGCCAGATGGCCACGAACAACTGCTAAGAATCAGAGGGACACAGAGAAATACCTGAAGCTCTTGGTAATATGGTAGAGAAACACCTTCTGTTCCTACTTACTGCTAGGCCCCATTTAGACAAATTTGGTTTGCACAACTCACATGTGATCCTTCCAGGTTAAATAATACAAAGGTTACTAATTTTCAAAAGTTATATTTTGTAGTCTAATTTACAAACACTGAATTTTTGCTGGACAGAAGCAAAACAAGGCAACCCTCGGCTGTAGTTATCACAGCAACAGTACATTGGCTTCAAAATGCTGAGAAAATCCACTAACCACTGCACTTCTCTATCACCTTAAAACCTATAGATGTGTATACATATCTATTAATATATATTAAAATATGTAAAACATATTCTACATAAAATACTGTCTGTAATATATAATATTAATATATAATTCACATGTCTTCAGATACATATGAGTTAGCTGCAAGGTTGAAAGAGTAATACAGCTCATTGGCCCATGAGGGACAGATCAGGCCCCTTTTTCTGTGTCAAGAAGCAAATAATGGAAAAAGGTTCCTCTTTTCCTATAGAAGAACATACTCCTCTGAGCCAACACTAAGAATCATTCAAGACAAAAGTGCCCAGCATTCTGGGATGCCAAAGGATACCTCCTGATTTCATTTTCAGAGGAAGCATCTTACAACCATTTTACTATGGCAGAACTACGATTCCTATGAGACAGGCTTTCAGCTTCTGCAGGCTCAGAACAATGCAGCTTTGTGGTAACCAAGCTGCTCTGCTGGATTGCCTATTGCAGCTGTACAGCTGCTAGACTGGCACCTGTTTAAAGACTCCCTGAGACACAGTTTTCCCACCTCTGTTTCCAGTTGCCTAAACCAGTTCCTGCATTTAAAAAAGCCCAAAACGAAATGCTTCTTGCGTTTACCAGAGGATAACAGTGTGGAAGTGGTCTCCTCACCTCGGAAGACCAGGAGTCTCATTCTGCTTTAAGTTACAGTTCAGAAAATTTCATGTTTAAAAATGAGTCTTCTCTTTTTAAAAAGAAATCACCTTGCATTACAAAAGACAGACACTGCTCAAGAGCAGGCCACAACATCATGTTTTCGGACTTGGGTTTCTTAGCAGAAATTCAGAAGGAAGTAAAAAGAATGGGTAGACCTGGGAATGGAAAACACAGGCTAAGACAGGACTGAAATAGCAGGGAGTGCTTCAGGGCAGAGAAGGAGCAAAGGGCACTGGCACAGGTGTGTGAGGAGTCCAGAGCTGGGCCAGCAGGAGAGTTCAGGGCAGGAGTGAGAGATACTGCAGGTGCACAGCATCAGAAAGGAGTATGTGCAGGGTCAAACATTCAAGACTTGTCAGATAGGCATAGCAGAACTAATGTAGATTCCAGGTATGAAGCCAGATGTGGCAAACTACAGTACATCTGCCTGTAGTATGCTTCATTCTAGCTTGTGTTTCCATGAGTAAAAGAAGATAAGATTATTAATTTGAATTTCTCAAGATAAAACAGCCCAGTTAAAAAGAAGTCGGAATATAGCGAGACTGGAAGGATGCATGGTAACATCATTCTGGCTTGCAAAATTGAGTATAAGCTAGCTACACTGAAGAAAGGGGGACTTTTGAACAATTTAAACCAGGACAGAGGATCAAATTTCTTTTGCAAACTACTTTGAAAAGTATGTGAGATCTTGCATTTAGCATTTTTTTATAATCTCTCAGATTTACCACGCCAGAGTATCATTTTCATTCTGTATAGCACGGTTCATACAAAAAAGCGTTTTTAGAATATTGGCTAGAGATGTGGAGACTAAGTTCAGTAACAGAAAAAAAAGTGATATAAGCCTCACAACAAAACGCGTGTGATGAGAGTGTGAGGGGGATTAAGAGGTAAGAGTAAGAACTGAAGAAGCACAGCACACTAGAGAACTGGTCCAGATGGTAGGCTAGTCTTAACCTACAAAGCAATGTGTTTGTATAAAAGTCCAGTGGGAGCTGAGCAGACAGAGATGAGCACACAGTTCAAGTCTGAAATATTTTTACGAGTTCAAGGAATGGAAAGAATGGACTCTAAAGGTCTGATGCAGAGTCAAGAAAATTGCTGCTTGGGAAGAAGGTAAAATCAAAGAAAGATGTTGCATCTAAGGAGGTGAGGGGTAAGAGACACCTAAATGACTGATCACAGCGGACATGAGTAATGATAAGAAAAAAGCTTTTCCAAAACTAGTCACCACATACAGATATTAAAAAAAAAATACTTCCAAGGTGTCAATAATGCAGCATTGGGTCAAATAGCCAGTTTGATATAAATCTGGTATGTTTAAAATTATTTATTCCAAAAATAGTTATGGTAACTTTCCAGTAGGGTTTGTGTACAGAAAAAGAAAAAAAAAATTAAAAATCATAAGTGAACTTTGATAAGATGTTCTTCAGTGATCAGTTCTATCTTTCCATTTCAGTAAGGTGCCTACAAGTTCAGTAATTGTAGCATTCCAGTCTATTACTGATAAAAGCTCACTGTTGCGTGAGCGGTTCAACACTGTACCAAATCTCCCATTAACTCTTGCTCTTAGAGGTTATTTCGGTAAGTGGGTCAAGATAAACAGAGGACCTGCTAGTAAGATACCTAATTTGAACAATGATATCTATACAACAGAGGTAGCTATCTGAATCAGACTGCTAATGCCCCTTTTTTTCCAAATAAATCCAGGGATGGTGTTTTTATGTATTTGTGAAGCTTACTGTATATTTCTGGATCACAACCATGAATGATTTTGTTCACATGCCCAAGCTTTGTAACCATCAGGAAAGCAGTGACCTTTGCTTTCAAACTAAGCAAACTGTTTCATACTGGGCTATATTCATGCATACTCAGTATTTCAATTAGCCTGTGATTTCCTTAAAAATACTGTACTGAAGGATGCCTAGCTGCTAGATGATTTAACTTTTCCTCCCTCTCTTGTACATGACAATACTTTGCTCAAAGTAGCCATTAAGCTTTTAACTTGCTTGCTGAGGCATTCATTGTTACAACTCCTCATGCCTCTTGGCTGATGGAGGAAAATCAATTTTGATCCCTGAGAAAAAAGTGCAAGTCTCCAACTTCACACACCGATGTGTACAACTGCAGCTGAAACTGAATCAAGATTTTTCCACCATTCAAGGCATCTCACATTTATGCTGAGACCTTCAGAGGTTACAACATACACAATTTACTGTTTTTAATTGGAGAAATGGAACAGAACTTGCTTCAAATGAAAAAGAAGTTTGTCAAATGAAGTTCATAAAAAGCAAATGAGATTTATAGTGACAATGAAAATGTACTTCAAAAATTAACCTGCAGTTTTTTGCAACACAAGGTATTACAACAGAATGCAAAAATCCAGCCACTGCAGGATTTTAATGCTACGATAATTCTGCTCTTCCTTAAAGGGAAACAATTTTGCCTTTTCTTAGATAACCTAGTTCAAAACACATTAGAACAGCAAGTCTTAGTGATTAGAAGTCAAACTACAGTAACCAGGTAGCAGTAAAGATATAGAAAGCATGTGCATTTTCCCAATAGACACAAGTTTAACACTGAAAATATTCCAAGCAGGTATGAGAGAGAGGGAGGGGAGGAGGGAACTTACTGTACTGCTTCAAAGATGCACCATACACAGAATGCAGCAGTAGAGGATACGCTAAGAGATGAAGGAGGCAACCGAAAAGGCAGTACTCACCCAAAATATTAAATTGAAAAGGAACATCATGTATTTCAAACAACACAGGCAGCCTCTTGCCATGTTGCACTTCTTAAATTCTAAAAGGAAAACAAAGGATAGATCCAGGTAAAAGACCACGTATTTGCTGCCTTTGGGTGCACTGTATTTGTCACTTTTTACGCCAGTTCCAGTCCCAACGCCGGTCCCGGTTCCGACCCCAGTGTGGCTCTGTGTGCGTGATCCAGTTGTACCATAGAAAGCTCCTGCAGTAAAACCTCGACCAAATTGCCTCCCTGAGGTAGAAGGTTTAGCAAAATCTGAGTCTTTGCTATCCAAAGATGGACTCCGGTGAATTGAAGAATCCTCACTACTTGACTTCTCCATGATCTCTCTTTTCACAGTTGTCAGATTTAATGTATAGCATCTCTCAGCATTAAATGCAGTGCCTTGCAAATGCCACAGTGCAATAAGAGCTGTCTGTGTTTTGCTTCTCTTTTTCTTCGTACATAAATCAGATAATCACTGCAGAATTTATTCACTGCATTCTTGCTGGTTTTATTTTTTATAGCAATGTAGGCTGTGCTCTGTCTATCTGAAGCATGGATTTATATGTTAATATCCCATGCAAGAGAAGGCTCATGATTTATCTTGATGAATCAGTTATGCAGAACTTTGATTTTTATTCAAAAGAGCCATAAGCTCTTTCTCTGCACTCCTAGTCTACAGCCCTCTAATCTATAGGCAGCAGATGGTCCTTGCATCCATTTCCAAAAAGCTTCTGCAGTACACCTGGGAGACTCTCCTCGAGCCGGAGCACTTTCCTTGCTCTCAGCTTCCCTCTCTGTGTCTCTCTGACTCTCTCTCACACGCTGTCTTTTTTCTTTCCACCCATTTGCAGTGTCTCATTCAGTAACCAGCTACCAGAGCGCGCTCTGTGTTTCACTGCTGTTGCCGTGAAATCATCGGCAACTGCAACCACTGGGCATTTCCCACAGAAATCCCTGACCTAACTATCGAGTAATAAATCCGCCCTCCCGCTCGCCCCTCCCCTCTGCTTTCCATCGGGCCAGTTAGCAGAAGCCTTCTCCTGCAGGGCACGCCTCCATGACATAATATCTGTAATAGGATTAGAATTACTCTTGACTATACAAGTGCACAACAGAAAATCTCTTTAAATGTCAAGTACTGTTTAGCTGTTTATGCGCTAGAACTGTCAGGCAGTGATATTCCTTCAATACAATATAATACAGGACATGTATGGATTAGATAGACAGGTGCTAACCTCTCCCTGCTCATTAAATTAACAGTAACTTACTTTTTTTTTTTCTGGCTTAAACAACTGTCATGGGACAAGGAACTGGAATAGGCTAGCACTCAGCATACACTGAATAGGCACGTGTCTCAGTTATGCATGCACATAATCACACCTTCACCTGCGATATAATTAAACATAACCAGAAAAGCAGAGCTGCTGCCTCCTACAGGGTCATCAATCCATTCTTAAAACTCCTGAAATGTAAAGGTATCTGAACCCGCAGCTATTTACACTCGATTTAACTAGTATATCAGAGATTATTCTTATGCACGGCAATAAGCCATCTTACATCACAAGTAGTCTGTGAACTAGAAACACTGACCCAAATGCCACATTTCTTTTCCACATAGTGGCACAACATTCCTGCTAGGACTCTGAAACACAAAGGACACGTGTGTCTGTGCATATGTGTGTAAGCGCCTGGAGGGGAGGAAGAGAAATACTTCAGGTCACGCCTGGTGCTTCCAAATTTGTCATTTTGTCATAAGCGTAAAAGCAGTGCACTGATGGTGCAAAGTGCTATAGCAGATTTAAAATGCAGGTTGTTCTTCTCTTTTTGTATCTAAAGAAACTGCATTAGGAGGCCACCACGAAAGAAATACAGCTACCAGGAAAAGCAAAATTCTGCACAATTTTTAACTGTCCCTTTCACAGGCACATTAAAATGCACTGTTAATTATTGTATCAGGTATCTTTGAGAAACGATAATATAAAATTTATGCACTCTTAGACATTTATACCCAAAAGCCTCCCAAAATTCTGTACTTTTTATGTAACAACATCAGAATCAACAGCCTATAGCCCTGCTACACCCTTCTTGATAGGCTTTTTCTGTGAAAAGATCCCTCCACCATAAAGTACTTCACGTCATGAAATACCAAGCATTTGTATGTGTAATATTGTTCTCTCACGTCTTCTGCTATAGAATAACATTTTAACAACAGGCAGGCCCAAGCCTGTATCAACAGCATTTATTACTTTGCTTTTCAAAAGTAATTTCAGAACTGCCTGCATCAAACGTGTCCGTCAGAAAGACGACTGCAGGATGACTGCTCAGCACTGTCTATGATAGTTGAAATGCCTACACATAAAACATCAAGATAAAAAAAATAAATTAGCAGCAACCAAAGTAGAATGGGGCATTTCTATCCATTTCTATGGTTAGAAAGACATGCAAATTTCAACGTGAGCAGCTGAAGAAGAATCAACTTTCCCAGAAAAAAAACATGGAAGTGATTTGTAGGTCATGGCCAGTTACCTGCCTCGGACACGGGAGCCTGGCACATAACTCGCATTCAAACACAAGGTAAATGTCTGAGTACAGATTTAGAAATCTGAAAAAACTCTTCCTTTTGAAATTCACTTACTGAAAGTGTAAAGTTGTGCCACTGCAAACCTATGCTGCAGCAAACCACACTTACAGGGGTTTTCACTTCTCACACAAAATTGAGCTCTCAACCAAAAAATTATGAGTGCACAGGTATTTTAAAGCATTTTTTCCTGTTGCATCCTTCAGTTTGCCAAAAAATTTATACTGACATAGATTAGCTATAGAAAAAAAAACTTGCTGTGCACTTGTAAAAACTAATGCAATTTAAATATTTACCTCCCCATTGAAGCTATATGACAATAATAATTAATCTGCCCTTGTCAAGGTTAAAAAAATTAAATAATGTTTTGTAATATGTAAAAAATCTCCACAAAGCCAGTCCTAGTTCATAAATAGCAGAAACTTTCTATTGGTGGGTTAATAAAAAAAAAAAAAAAAAAAAAGTAAAACAACCATATCTCCAACGTTATTTTTTGCAAGTTCTCATTATTAGACCTTACTGAAGTTTTCCAGTTTTCTATTTTTACCTTCAAATACTACAAAATATTAGTTTACTTTATCAATACCTGTAATGCATCTTAACCATTAAGAGATCTCCACAACTGGTCTACAGCAAAGTTTCTACTTCAGCACGAACAACCAAAGACACACGTAAAGTCAATAGTCAGCTTCAAAGTGCAGGCCTGAGCAACAAGCACCAGGGAAAACACAGTTCCAGATCAGTCTCCCCTCCCACTGCGTAGCAAGAAAACATATGACTCTCTTATGGTTATGCTGTTGCCACCAGGACGCTTTACAAGCTTCAGTAACTTTCCACCACCTGAATTTGCAGCCATGGAGCAGCTTTACAGATAGACACCACTTCCTCCTGCTGGAACTCGAACTCAGTGTTTAGGTAGCTCAGCTAATAAATCACACAGAACTGCTTATTTGCTGAAAAAATACACGGTGAAAAAGCCGCAACCAGTGTGTCCAGCTGTGTTTTGACCAGCCACTGCACTTAACTCTAACTCTGATTGAGAATTCAGCGGCAGGTGTTGCTGCAGGCCACTCAACAGCACCTTAGAGTGGTCCCACTTGACAGTGTAACCTCAGCACGAGGACAAACACGTTTTGCTTCACTACAGATCTTACCTCTGTTTAGTAATCAGGGCATGAAAAACATTCAAAAGCTCACTCTGTACATCATTAATGTTTGATTACTGAATCACAGAATTTTGTTGCTGAGTGATGCATCCACATCAAGAAAATAATTTCAGTCCCACACGTACATGCCTGGGACAAGGCAATAAACATCAGCCATCTAAATGGCTCTGTCAAGTATTAAGGGTAAAAATTTAGGTCGTTTTCAGATACCAGGTATAAAAGTGGATGTCACAGAGGGTGTAGTCAAAAACTGGAAAGGAAGATTATTAGTACTATGGACAGAAAGGCACAGGCTGGTTCTCCTACTGAAACTGATTTACTTGGTTCCCTCCTGAGAACAGTCTACCAGTCTTCAAAGTAGAGATTCCAACAACTTCACTTTTCAGTGGAAGCCACAAAATATTTAATCTTTTTTTCTCAGCCCTTAGTTTAATCTCACCAGAACCTGAGTATCAATTACACCCAGCTAGAGTGCTCCTGAACCCCTGTTTGGTTCTGCCCTCTTCAGCTGTTTTTGTACAACTGGCTTCTGGAAACATACTGCAAAATAGAGCAAAAGCTGACCAAGTTTATACACGTATTTATAACCATGTATTTATAGCAACATAATACAGATATAAAAAGTATGTCAGCAATATATAAAAATTACACTTATTTTTCCCCTTTTGGAAGCTTCTAATCCATCTTACAAGACATTCTCCTTAAATGATCTTGCTGACTCAGTGAGAGGGAGAGTAACTACAATAGGCAAGAACATGAACAAATACTGAAGACTGAGCAAAAATACCTTAAGCTTTTGTTATGTCTCCCATGATTCCTGAATATGAAATATGAAATTCCATGAGTTTTTGAAAAGGAAAACCAAAAACTCCAGTCAACAGGATACACAAGCCATTTTGCAATGTATTACATATTTTACTTTGCAATTTCCATTAGGTAGGATAATGCTACTGTCACTGTTTTAATTATGGGGAACTCGAGGACCAAGACGCTTGCTGAGGATGAATAGGAAATTGCTGGCAGAGAAGCAAACTGAATCTCTGCCTCACACGTTCTCAGCTAGTACACTAACCACTGCACCATTCCCAAATTAATTATTTCTAGAAATCATGAGTTTTAGTAACCCTGCCACATGACTTCAGAACAATACTGAGCCCTGCAGAGAGACATACAAATGCATACGCTACCAAGTGTTAGAGGGATAGGGCTCTTAAATTCATTCTTTTCTTTTGAATTATATTGACCAAGAATTCAATTATACAAACCTTCCTCAGGGTACACTAGGTAGACAAAGAACCAAGATTGCTGAGTATAAACTCAGTGACTTCAGGTTTCCAGTCACTACTACAAATCCTGGAAGGCCATGAGAAAGATGTGGAACAAGAGTTGGAAAGAACAGTTTGTGGTTCTGGCATACAGTTGTATACAGCTGAAACCTCAGATTAAAAGAAATAAATAAAAAAACCCAAACAAACAAAAAAACTCACCAAAAACAAACCACTGATTTTGGAATAAGTTTAAAGGGAAAAGAGTGTAAAAAAATAGAACTGAAATTAGGATCACATGAGAGACAAAACCACGGGGTTGTCAGGACTTCTATGCTTCTGGTTCCACAACAAGGAGCTTACAGACATCAGCAAGTCAAAATACCTGGAGTTCCCACGTCTCATAAGGCTACAGGATTTAGAAGCAAATCCTGGATGCTCTGAGGGTTGTAAAACACATCCTAGGACCTT